TGCTGGCTGGGGAATTCTGGGAGTCGAAGTCCACCCATCTTCAAGGTGCCAAGTTTGAAAAACACTGAATTAGGCTGTGCAAACATGTTTTTCAGTGCCGGCGAGCCACCATTTGCATCCCCCCGTCCACAAAGGCACCCGGCAGAAACCACAGTCTGCAACGGTTCTGCACTACTTTGCATCCAAACAGACCCCTTTTCTTCCTTCCTTGCAAACCAAGCGACAGCATGTCGGAAATTCTGAACTCAGGCCCCGGCAACATCACACGCAATCATTATTAGCAGAGGCACGGGAATTTTGTCCCAGAAGAAACACAGGTGGGGAAAACCCCAATAATTCCCGGTCAGTTGTGGCCAGGGCCGTCCCTGTTTCAGCTTTCTGTGGGAAGCGTCAAGCAAGCGTGAACTCCGGTGATTCCCGTTCCTCGACTACGGACAGGTAGCTCTTCAAGGAGAAGGGCTCTCCCTCGCGGCTATACCTCCATTCTAGGTCTGGAAGCTGAACCTCCTGAGAAACAGTTAAGGGATCCGGGGACGTTTAGCCTGTAGAAGAGAAGATGGGGAGACAGGACATCCGTCTTCAACCATCTGGAAGGGTGTCCCCAGGACGCAGGGCCAGAAGCAAAGGGTTAAAGTTACAGGGAAGAAGAGACGTCCACCAGAGGAACAGGCTGCCCCACAAAGTGGTGAGCGCTCCATCCTCTTGGACTCTTTCAGCAGAGGTTGAATGGTCAGCGGCCGGAGAGGACCTCGTGGATCCTGCACCGAGTAGAGGACTGGACTGCGTGGACTCTAAGACCCCTCCCAGCCCTAACCGAAACCCTAACCCTCCCAACCCTAACCGTAACCCTAACCCTAACCCTAACCCTAACCCTAACCCTAACCCTAACCCTACGAATGCAAGGTGACGTAGGGACATCTCCATCTTTACCCTAATGCACCTCACAACAACCCTGTGAGGTAGGGTGGGCTGCACGATGGCCGCTCCCCAGCGGCTTTCATCGCTGAGTGGAAATGTAAACCCAGAGCTTCCTTCTCCGTTTCCTCCAGCCCTATTGGACTACAGTCCCCATTGTGTCCAGCCCCCTGCTCTCACCATCACCCCACAGTGGCTATTTTCACGCAATGATACTGAATTAATCCATGTTCTGGTGTCCCACAAGGCCCTGACCCGAAACGAACTCAGCGCGCTAGGTTCACACGTGCCCTGCCGGAAAAACAACGCACGACGTTTAGCACTAACCCAGGCTCAGTACGCTTTGTGAATGCAGCCGTCAGGTCTTCACCAGCCCCGTCTCCAGACAAGCAGAGGTTTGCGGGGAAAGAGTGGGAATGAGCAACTTCCCTCATTTTGTGCCTCCCGACAATCCTGCCTGGCAGGGGAGAGGCTGGGGGGCACGGGACAGTTTCCCAGTGACGTGTCACGCCCACAGCGCCACAGCGCCGGAGGGGAGGCAGTGGGGAAAGGCCATTTCCTTCCGCCCTGATAGCAACTCCTCCAGAAATTCACCCAGAAGCATGGAAAGCAGAAGAACCTTTTCTCTTCTCTTTTCGCCTCAGACAGGAATTAAGCAAGCTCTGCAGACGCTCACAGGTGCCAGTGGAGTGGAACTGGCGCCGCCCAGGAGAAAACCTGACCTCAGCCAGGCAGGAAGTGCTGAAGAGAAAGGGAAGAGGGCAGGGAAGCAGGTGGTTGCCAGGAACCAGGGGCATCTCCGCCTCCAGCTTCAGCAGGACGGCTGCAGAAGGCATCTTGGAGGAGGCTGCTCCCCAACCGGGTGCCAGCTAAATGCCGCCTTCCCCAATCGGGTGCCCTCTAGCCATGCTAGGACTACAACTCCAGCATACCTTCGCCCCAGAAATGGCTTTCTGCAGATGGCTCACTGGGCGAACCATGGTTCACTGGGCGTTCGGTGGCATATTATTCTTGTGGGCTGATACCTGGTTAGGTGTCACCAATTTTACTTGCTTTGATTCCACCGACCTCCTGTTTTCGAACCGTAAGCTGCCTTGGGAGCCGGGTGGGTGGGTGTCAACATTCTTGCAAATACAAGAAATCAGCCACATGCAAAAAGGCCCAGGCGACCCGGCTTGCTCAAGCGAGTGACACCACCGCCCACTTGCAGGAAGTCTGCAGGAAGGACAGAGTATCAGCTATGGGTCCTACTGATGTGAGCAGTCCTCAGTTTTGGGAACCTCGCAACGGCCTTCCCCAATCTGGCAGACTGCTGAGACGCAGTTCTGTGACAGCTGGAAACCCCGGAGTTTCAGCTGCAGGAGACCTGCAGATGGCCTGGTGGACAATGTCGCTTGCTCTGAAGTGACAGCTAAGCACCATTTAAGCCAGCGTTCCTCAACCTCAGCAACTTTAAGATGGGTGGACTTCAACTCCCCGAATGCCCCAGCCAGCATGGGGAATTCTCAGCAACTTTAAGATGGGTGGACTTCAACTCCCCGAATGCCCCAGCCAGCATGGGGAATTCTCA